TTAAAAAGTATTCTATGCAAGTGCATGGAAAAGCTAATCAAGACGCATTTCTGTACCCACCTATTAGAGTATGCATTACTTGGTGTGGCTCAGCATGGCTTTATGAAAAAACAGGTCGTGCCTGACTAACCTTTTATGCTACCTAGACAAAGTAACTGAGATGGTAGACGAAGGCAGAACAGTAGAAGTGTGTTACCTGGATTTCAGTGAGGTGTTCGATTCCGTAAGTCATAGATTGCTTCTACATAAGCTAAGACTTTTTCGGAATCACAGGAACAGTATTTAAATGGATGGCAGCATTCTTGACCAATAGGACATTCTGCGTTAGGGTAGAAGAACAAACGTCCCAAGTCCTTCATGTCACTAGTGCCTCGCCACAAGGCTCGGTGTTAGGTCCGCTTCTATTTCTGTTGTTCCTAAATGATGTAGCAGAAATTACCGGTTCACCTTGCTCAATCTTCACTGATGATGTAAAAGTGGTTGGATCTAGTGGGAGAGCTGACTTAGAAGAGGATATTGCGAAGGTGGTCAAGTGGTCCCACACATGGGATCTGCCACTAAATGCAACTAATTGTCAGCTGCTCTCTAGAACCGGAAAATCATTGAAGGCTCTCGGGGACTGGGGGAAATTCGAAATGGGAGCTGTAAACAGTACCGGAGATCTAGGAGTCACAGTAACTGCAGATTACAGTTGGGGTATCCAATGTGAAGTTGCAGCACACACGGCAAGACGACAGCTGTTTCGACTAAGGTCAGCAGTTTCTTGTAGGAAAGCAGATGTACTTATACCCATCTACAAAGCCATTGTAAGGCCTCACCTAGAATACTGTGTTCAGGCTTGGTCGCCTTTCTACAAAAGGACGCAGCCTGTCTGGAGAAGGTCCAGTGACTAGCAACACGGATAGTTGAGGGTATGCGGGGCAATACACAAAGAGTGGTTGTACGCACTTGTTATTTTTCACCAGAAAAGCGGAGGTTGCGAGGAGACCTCATCGAAATGTTTAAGATTAAAAAGGATTTGCTTGGTTTAGATCCACGGCCTCTCTTCACTGAGTCTGCTAATCAAGAAACGCGTGGACATGAGCTCAAACTTATGCAACAGTATTCTAGGCTGAATTCACGAGCACATGTTCTTAGCAATGTGGTACTGGATAAATGGAATAAACTACTGTCCGAACTGATCAACAAGCCAAACATTCAAGCCATTAAAAGAGCTTTGGACTTCAGATAGTTGGAGGTATTTACTTACATAGAATATAAGGTGCACAAATCGTTTTTGTGTAATATAAAACCGTTAATCAGTGAGCGACTTTGTAAATGCTTTTATTGCAACTGCCTCAGCCTCCCAATAAGATTCTAGAATTAGGGCAGCTTGCGTGAGACAACAACCTAGACATTTTAATGCTGACGGAAACCTGGTTCACGGCGGACTTCGCCGATGGTAAAGTAACCATACAAGGCTACTGCCCTATTGGAAAGGACTCCATCCACGCAAGAGTAGGTGGGGTCATAATTTATTTTAAGCACTATCTCCCCCCTTCAATCTTTATAAACACTGAGCCTATCCCCTTCATAGAGAGTCTGTGGATCTTTTTTCAGACCTTGAGGACTATCAACTTCCTGATGTGCATAGTTTACCGCCCACCACAATCCAGTCGACTGGAGAATCAGCTCCTAATAGACCAGCTTAGGTCTGTCACGGAAAGTTGCCATTACTCACCGTCTCGTTGTAGGGGATTTCAATTGCCCAGGTATGGACTGACAAAAGACGTTCTCGACAGACGTCTCTTTCAATCGCCCTCTAGTCGAGAAATCCTGGACGCAGCACGTGTCTTTTTCAACCAGGTTCCGACAAAGACACACCTCATCCTTACTAGACTCGGTCATCACCAATTAAAGACACCAGGTTGATGTCATT